CAATATGCGTTTTTGCTGCCTGTTGCAGCGCTCTAGCGCTGCACGGCAAAAACGCATAAAAAGGGTCGGATTTTTCAGGAAAATGCTTGGGGTTTTTCGCGCTGTCACGGTTGTGACGTGTGTTCATGTGCATTGGCATCATCCAGCCCTCAGTGCAACGAAGAAACAGGACAGTGTTCGTGTATGCCTGGAGCAGCTGGTCGGATGTGTGAGGCTTGCGCCTATGGTTATTGGAATTATGGGCCTACTGGATGCTCCAGTTTGTTTCAGGATTTCTGACCTGCAGCATGTGCACAATTAGAAGCTCTGTCAAATTTTTCGAGACACGTTAGTACCTTTTACATGATATGTATAGTGAGGTAAAACTAATGGTACTTTTTTTAGAATGTGACTGTGAAGCTGATTTGTCGATGGGAACAGTGTGTGATGTGCATACGGGTCAGTGTCACTGCCAAGAAGGAGCTACTGGTCCTCGATGTGACCAATGCGCTTTGCATTATCTACGGATACCTACTTATGGATGTCGATGTAATTAGCATACTTCATTTCTTATCCATCAACTGAAAAACATATTTGATGAAATCCTTTGCCCAAGGAACAGGAATCACCTCAACATAAATTTAGTACTCCTGACAAAATAACTTAATTCCAAATTAATTTGTGAGTTACTATATGGCGTTCAAAAGCCAGTGATGCATCGAAGGGATTCGGATTGATAAGTGATTTTGAACTATTAAATGAAAAAAAAAAAAAACGTAGGCTACTGCATGTAATTTACTGAAAATTCTCGAAGCAGGAGGCGTATCGCATTAGAACAGTTAAGGCTAAGCCTCTGAACAACCTTAAAATTATCTGATTTCTCATCAGCGAAACAGCAACGTTTTGAATAAAAGAAGTTGGGTGCTGGTGGGATTTTCCATGCAGGAGGAGTGGAACGAGGAGGCAAAGAGGGGAAGGAGTGAAGACAAAGGCAAATTACAGACTGGCTGACTGTGCTTTTACGGACTGAAATCCGGGTAACAGTAATGGCGCATCACAGATGCTGCTTATATTTGTAAGCTGGAGGTTAGATGTTGGCCTTTGTTTTCAAAATCTTGAAAAACCAAATTTTTTTTTATTTTCAGTATGCGACGAGTGCGTGCATTCGTTGACGCATGACTTGGATAACCTGGGAGGCTCTGTTGATCTTCTCAACAGGACGATTAATAATGTTTCAACAACAGCTCTCACTGGTGCTCGACTTAAACGTATTGAGAATAATATCATTGATCTGAAGGTACGAAACCAACAGTTTTTGAGGGCTGCATTATGCTTGTCCTGCAGCTTTCGATTCGTTAATCGTGTGTAGCAGCAGCGAAAAAGTGAGAACGGCAACGTTCTCAGCCCGTTTTGTGTTTGCGCATATACATCGATTAATCGGTGGGTACTAGTTTAAAGTATGCAGTTCAGGGTCGAAGTTGCGCTTGGCGAATGAAAACGTCCCCAAGCAGCACTTGCATCGGATCTCCAACCAACTGTCCGGGCGGTGTCAGTAATGCTAGAAATTCACCCTTATTGTTCGCTGTGACCGGAAAATTTTGCATTGTATTTTTTAGCAAAATGTATATTTTTGCAGCGCGGCCCATATAAATGGTGGATAATTTGGCATGTTGTTTCACAGTAAAAGCCGAAATCTGGGCAAATTTGCAAAAGCCTTCTGGGATATCGGCGTGAAACCTTTAGTTTTATTAAAATACAGCTACACTCCTAATACAGTCATATCACTTCGTTTGTTTCCTCGAAGTGTGCACATGATAAGAGCACATTATTTTCATTTAAGCAAATATTTTACTAATTTAAAATCTGATAAATCCTATCTCGTACCACTACTTGACCGCTTTCATCCCTCCTTGGATGGCATATACCACTTTTCCTTCTCACCTGGCGTTATCTTACGAGCATTGTAAAATCATTCGCTCATTTAGTCGCCTCACATATGAGTACTTGACTTTATTAAGCTAGTAACCAGATCCTTAATCTGACTACTGCTGTAACCAGACCCTTGCTTTAGTTGTCACAGTAATCGGAACATGTGCTCTATGATGATTTTTCTTATCGAAACAAATAGAAAATGGGAAATTTAAAATGTTTTGCACTCTAGATACTACGTATAATATGCAAGTTTTCAGCCGCTGGCAGTGGACCACATTGATCTGGCATCGAATTTGGGCATCGAAAATTTGAATGGCGATGCAAACAGAGTGATCGATGACATAGCCAGTATAGCTATTCGTGCAAACCGATCGGTGGATATGCTTCAGTCCATAAGCAGTACACTTGTGGATATCATTGACAGTACCAACATTGTAAGTCGTTCAGGAATATGCTCTAATTTCAACTCCAGAGCCGGCTCTCTCTCCCTCTCTGCTGACAGCTTCAGCAGTACAACAATGAAATGCCTAGTTTCAACTGCAGGGCCTCAAGCCGTGAACACTTTTTCCTCGCTTCCAGTTCCTTGCTTAGTCTAGCACCGACAAACCGAATTTTTTGATGATTTGCTCATATCCTAGTCGTTTGCTGATTTCCTATCTCTTCTATTAGCCATCATCACATGTGTTACTTATTAAAACGACAACAGTGGGGGTAAATAGAAATGTGAGAAAATGAAGGCATACTTGAATCTAAACCAGGAATTTTTCGGTCTATGGCCATTGAATGAACACTGGTGTATTTTAGTTTTCGCTGGACGCATTCGATCATGTGGAGGCAGCAGCAACAGTCGTTGATTCCATGAAAAATCTTGCATTTTCACTGGGCAAAGACTCGAGTGCTGTGGATCGCCAAAAATGGTTAATGGATTCCACCGCGCTGCTCGAACATATGCGCCACCTTACGAGCGAGTTCGTTTATAAATACTCTTAGTTTTGTCAGTAAATGTCACTTGTCACTCAGTCAGTATGTTACTCCTGTCCGATTCTTTCTGTTTTCTCAGGATAAGGGATGCTTTTATGCTGTAATTTTGGAATAATGTAGTAGATGCGGCAAAATATCTAGCGAAAAAATATGCCTGTGAAAAGACTTTTCAGCATAGTCGATCAAACTTTTCTCTCATTCTTAAAGTATTCCAAGTTACGAAGGATCTTCGAAAAATATTTTCCTGGGATAATGTTTTGATATGCTGACCACCACCATTTTTATGCGTTTTTGCTGTGCAGTGCTGCAGCGCTGCTACAGTCAGCAAAAACGCATATTGTCGAGAGGTCGTTTGAGTGTGTGTATTCGGAAGCGAGTGAACTTTGTCACCCACTTTTATCTCAGCAACCAATAAAGCTGGGAGGTTGAAGTTTTGAGTATATGTTTCGTACCCTGTGTGTCGTCCTCCCTTTTTAAAATTTTCACTCATACGCGCCTATACCTCGCGTACAGACCCCCGAAAAAAATATACAGATTTCTTTGGTGAGAAACGATTTCGCGAACCAAGCCTTCCTGGTTCGCGAAATCGTTTCCCGCCAGAGAAATTTGCTGGAATTTTGCAGGGATAAATTTACTGGAATTTTGCAGGGATATACAAACATGAAATTTTGCTAACTCGAAAATTAGTTGAAAACAGTGGCTGAAATTTTGTCAGCATGTTTATCGCCCATATGGGAAATCATATACCTAAAATGAGTGCCGATTTGCACTTGTGCCAATACTTAGGACACTTCAAAGATATTTGTAGCGAAGTGGCTATTTCGCTTACCGGATAAAGTACGAGGCGTAAATTTCGCTGGGACATTCTACTTTTATGCTTGGTCTTAATTCTGTTTGGAGGTGAACTTCCCTGCAGGTGGTTATGAGAAATACCCAACTTTACCGCATACTCAGAAACAAGTGCAGTTTGCAGCGATCGACCGCCCTCATTCTTTCCCAGACTTCATACAAAAAAACTACTAATCATATACCTGGAGCTCCACGCTATCCTATAATGCAACACCTTCATCCGAACCGACGCCCTTTCTGCCGCGTGCTGGATAAAGCCAAAGCACGGCTAATATGAGCCCAAGTATTAGGCTACAGCGCAGGGATCATTCTTGCTATAAGTGATCAGCGAGTTTAGTGCAAAGCGCTTGATTGCACCGGCAAGCCTGATGCGTTCCAGCCTGGGTTAGTTATTGGCATGCGTAGATGCGTAGCACTCCTTCTCACGGTTGCTTTTGCCTAATGCGCGATTTCCATTGGACAAATTCCTTTTTTTCCGAATTTTAGCGAAGAGACGAGAATAAAGGCGCAGAAAGCTGATGCAGCATCGGAGCAGTTGTTAGGTCGCATGCAAGAACGGAAAAATCAAGGAAAAGCACTGAATAAAAAATATGGGAGCGTAAAAGAGCGAATGAGCAGCCTTATCAATAATGCCACCGAGTACAAATCTTTGATTTACCTGGTTGCCAGCTCAGTTGCTAATGTTGTGCAGGTATTCACGTTACTTTCAGTCTGTTCTGTATATATCCTAAGATTTTAAATAACCAGATGCGCAGGTGCTCATTTTTTCAAAAATAATTTTATTTCCTGCTCACCCTTCACCCTCCTGAAAATTTGTGGTATTTTGCTGCAGTACTTGCCTTTTTATGATATTTATGTTTCTAATGCTCCCATTAATTTTATTTTATTATTGGCATCACAAAAAGTGCTGGCATGTCCTCCGTTAGGATGCAAATAGTACTGAGCTGGGAAAGGTTGGCAGTTACGCTTGTTTTGGCCAGAAAGTAAATATTCACAACAACCTCCAGCTGAGTACTACGTGTAGAACAGTTGCTGGTTAGCGCAAATGTCATAGCATTGTCGGCATTCTAAATATTCGAAATGGAGTGACTGCATCCACCTCATTAGTGACTTTATCCCTTCTGATAACGAAAAAGTGCGGTTGCGTAATGTTGTCACTGACGGAAGTAGAAGCGCAAGCGCTGATTATGATGGGGGCAGCAATTCAGCACGGGATTCTTGGCTATTTAAGCAACCAGATTCAGTGTTCAGAATTTGTACACCTCGAGAAAGTAAATGACTACCTTACTGGACTTCGCAGATGTGTAAAAAATACGCTGAAGATGCGGCGGGTGCTAGCTGAAGGTGTAAAGCACCGGATCGAAAGAATCGGCATGTGGAGCATTCTGATTATGACACTAACACCTAATTCCTTCAATGATTTTATGGGTGGCTATTGTAATCCTGGCAAACGGTATTGGAGCCTATTTATTTTTTGTCTTAGTGCCGAAAATACAAGGAAGTAGTCGAAATCCAAACAATATGTGAAAAAAATATTTTTTAAATTGCTCTTCACGTAATTGCCTAAACTGTTCTTTCCATAATCATATTTTTCCAAAATTGGTCTACCGTTCTGAAATGTTCTTGTTCAAATCGCGGAATGGACTAAAGCTTATTGCCTGCTGCGATGTATTTCAGAAGCTGAACAATTCAAAACTGCAATATATGCAGTCGTTACTGGATGGCACGAAGGCAGGTGAAGCAAAAATAAGGGAAACGCTTGAAATGATAAATCTTCTTAACACAGCATCCAAGGCGTCAATTGAATCATTGAAGCATACGAACAGAACATACGACGAATTGCTGGGCAGAATTCAGGGAATTTTCGATCGGATGGGCGCTAAAAATGGTAGACATCGTCACAGGCGATTACATAACGCAAACAAGGTTCCTCAGCCTTCATTTTTCATGTATATCCAAAGTGTTCCACACAAGCTCTGCACGTTAAAAAAAATGAATTCTGACGAACAGCTTCAGCTGAAAAGTTAAAAAAAGTTTACTATAAAAGATACATTGCGATTTCTTTTAATCCAGTAATTTCTTTGTACGGCCAATACAGATATTTTGTTACAGGCAGAATATACAAGAAAATCTGAAGTGCTTGCGAGCGAGTCGGCACGTTTGTCCGCCTTATTTGGTACCACGCGCAATGAAGCAAAGAATGCATTGGAAGCAGCTAATGGTTACAAGGAGTTGGCGGAGTTACTGCAAAAAGCTCGTAATATGGCACGGCAGGCATCCGGAAATGCGAGAGAGACGCATCAGTTCCGTGATGATGGCATGGTAAAGAATTATTCTTAATTTCATATCAACCAGCGAGTTTTTATGCGTTTTTTGCAGCTATGCAATGCAGAAAACGCATATTGACGAGAGGTTGTCTGTG